AAACCCCATAACCCTTCAGTAGGTCCATTGAATACACAGGGATTTCAGCCACAGCAGCTCTGGGAAGTGGGTATTTCTTTGCAAGAGAGGAATGTTCCATTAGCCTTCTGAACTGGCAACCAGAGTTACCTCTTAGCTGAGTTAGTGTGAGCTAGCTCACAGTTTTTTAGCCTCCGGCTCACACATTTCTGTCTTAGCTCGGGAAGGATGGCTTCATTTATGCAGTCATTTATGCAGTCGTCAAATCGCTCGCTCACAACTTTAACGCCAGTAGCTCACAAAGTAGAATTTTTGCTCACAAGACTCCACAGCTTAGAGGGAACACTGTTGGCAACTAGTACAACAACTATTTTGTTTCTTATTGTTCTGAAAATCTGAGTTAGTCGAGGGAGAAGGGAATACAAGGTTTCTTATGGGGATCTACTTCCAGATAACCGATATATAACGTCTGTGAAATATTTTTGCCACATTCGAAGTCAGAGTGAACTATTCGAACCTAAGGCAGTTACACCTAGCATAGCCCATGACATTTTTGTCAGCCTACAGAATCTTTACCAATGGTAGAATGTCCATGCTGGCATGCTGGATAGTGAATATTTTCTTGGCTTAATTTTCATGGCACTGTCTGCAGTTGTCTTTGCTTCAGTGCTTCACCCTCTGTTGTAACTTTAGAAATGAGATGTGCTATTCACATGTGTGTGTGTGTGTGTGTGTAACTGCTTTGCTGTCAGACCGTAGGTCCTGTTGGCAATGGCTCTATGGCAACCTGCTTAGTAACCAAAAAACATTAGCCACCAATAACTTCTTTCAGGAGCAGCAAGGCAGTATTGCTGAACCCAAACCAGCTCAAAGCACTCAACATTTAACACTGCAAGCATCTGGTAAGTTTTTTTTAAAAAAAATGTAGGGTCTTCATCATTCAAAAGCACTGTACAAAAATCTGACTGAAATGCTCAATATATTTGCAAGGAGAAACATTTAGGTGAATAAATAACCATGATGTATCTAGTATTCATACGACTGATAAAAAGAAATTGTGCACCACACATCTCTGTCTGTTGTTTGCCATTCTCTAATTGAACATATGATGAAAGAAGTATTCCTTATTAATAAATTAGTCCATTCCATGTAAAAAAATTTCATATTATCACAAATTCAATATTGGAGACTTTTGGAGATACCGAGGGAAGAGCAAGAGAACTAAAATTTAATGTTTTGAAAGCTACAAGACCACAGTTTTAATTCAGTAAATTAAGCATACAAAGCTTTAGTTTACTGAATGGACCTCATTTGTTCTCTTTGGTATTGTTATGAATGCGTTTGGTTATTTTTGAGGCATGATTGTGTTATGGAGACAGAAAAAAAAAAGATGAATTATGGCCTTGCTAAAAATGTCCGAGTAGCTTTTGTGTATTAAATTGTACGTTCTCTCCTGCTTTCATCATTATCTCCCAAAAATGCTGTGAAGAAATGTATTTTTGGGGTAGAGGTCTTAACTGAGTGAAACCTTCACCAGGAGTTTTAAAAAGTTTTTTTCTCTCTGGGCAGAGAACAGGCAGGGAGGGAGATGTTAGTTCAATGTCTTTCCAGCCTCACCTCAGCTACCTCTTAAGAAATGCTAGTAGGTCCAGCTAGAGACAATAGGATGGTCCAGTTCCCCACCACCCAAGCAAGGAACAGAGATTTGGAGGCATAAAAGATTAGGAGGACTTTAGGAAGAAACTTCTGGTGACTTCAGGAAAAGCTTCTTTGACCCAGCCTGACCTGGTCAGTGGGTGGGGAAAAGAGAGATGATAAAACTCCTGCAAGTAAGGAGAGGGGTCTCTTGAGTGCTGATTCTATCAAAGCAGACAGAGCTCTTAATGGAGGTCTGGAGGAGGCAGCCATTGCCATGTGCTGGCCTAAGGGGGCGTGAAGGTAATGGGACTCCTGTAAACACCTGGTAACTTTCTAAGCTAAGGAGCCTACCTTATATTTAACAATAGAGAGGGCATGTATAGAGGGAGGGGCAGAAGAATGGAGTTTTACCCTTTTCTTTTGAACCCCTTGCTCAGTGTAGTGCTGTGCTAAAAGTATGCTTGTGAACATTTTCTTTTAAATAAATGCTTTATAACTTTTGATCCTGGTAGTGGTTCTCTGTGCCACATAGACCTCCAACATCTTGGGCGTGCTATCTTAAAAGGAGCACCAGGAGGAAGGGGAAGGCAGTCCTTTGGCAAGAGTGACTACTCCCCTAGTGGTGCACAAGGCAGCAAGCTGCCCCCACTGAATAGCGGGAGACACAGGGGCAAGGCCTCAGAATATGGAAGGGAGTCCGGGAGTCCTGACCCTCCCAGTGGGGAATTCCTACAAAGATCAGATGGTGATGGTGGTTGAAGAGAGGGAGAAAAGCCCCTCCAAGTGTTGGGAAAACCCAGGAGGGCAGGGTGGAACAGGGCCTGCAGGCCAGAGCAGGACTGTTCTGCCACAGATGCCGATGGTTAAATGTTGACAATATGTAAAGGTAAAGGTTCCCTTGCTCGAAAGCCAGTCGAACCCAACTCTAAGGTTGCGGTGCTCATCTCCATTTCAAAGCCGATGAGCCAGCGCTGTCCGAAGACGTTTCCGTGGTCATGTGGTCGGCATGACTAAACACCAAGGCGCACGGAATGCTGTTACCTTCCCACCGAAGTGGTACCTACTTATCTACTTGCAATGTCTTGCTTTCGAACTGCTAGGTTGGCAGGAGCTGGAACTAGAGATGGGAGCTCACTCCATCATGCGGCACCCGGGTCTCGAACTGCTGAACTACTGACCTTCCACAGCCTGCAGTTCAGCATCTTAACCACTTGAGCCACCGCAGCTCCTGACAATATGTACATTTATTTAAATTTAATGTCATTGATCCATCAGTTGAAAGGCAGAAGGAGGGGGCAAAAGTAACTGATTGACTTAGAAGAAAATGCCAGAGACAGAAAGGAGACATATTCAAGAAGAATATGAATTCAATGAATATGAATTCAATGATGCTTGAGTGAGCAGGTCGGCACAGCACTGCATGCCTGAAGGTTTTCTATAGGATTTTATGCAGGGATAATTATGCAGTTGTTACAGGAGCTCCAGACATCTTTTCTCTGAGTCTGGTGCGGGGGAACCCTCTTCCAGCAATCAAATTGTGTCTCCTGTAACAACCTATAATTTTCAGAAAATATAATGAAATAAACCCAAGGTTTTCAAAATGATGCTCCCTCAAACTGCCATATCTTTTTACATTCTGACTCAGAGAATCAAGTCAAATCACATACATCTTTGAAGTGATAAAAACATTTTTTGTCATTGTGCCTGTTAAATTTTCTTTGAACTGGAATCTGCTGACACATTGCAAATCTTGCCTTGACAGCCACAGAGTAGTTTTATCCCTTCACATTTCAATTATGTGTGTGATGAGCTCTTTCTCTAGCCAAGACTTCTCGGCAAATCATTCCAAATCATAACATCATATAGAGGAAAACATTTCTTCATAATAAATAGCTGCATGTACATTATTTGAAAGGAGTGTCTCTTTCCGTGCCTGTCCAGGCAGTCAATGACATGAGGTACTTTGGGGAAACATCCTATACAGCAGCTGCCCATATCTGCAGTTAAGTGGTGCAATGCACAGTAAGAAGCATGCAAATGTCCTTGGGAAAGACCAGCCCAGTGAACATTAACAGTGAGAAGTAAACCATGTAGGCTCAGTGCTGCACCAGCCTGCCAGAGGGATGTGTGATAAAATTCCCTGCACCTTTAACCACTGCACAAAAAGAACCCTGGTGAATTCGTTTGTCATGTAATAAAGTCACCAGAGGCATGCCAGCAAAATGTTGGCAATCTTAGCAAGGGCTGAGAAACACTGTAAACTTTGCTGAGGTGAGAGTGCGAGTGATGAATGCTGCAAGATACCAGCTAGATTCAAATATTTGCAAATGACTAGATGACCAAAAATGGTGGATAAAAGAATCCTCTCTTTACAGCGCTTTAGGTCAAAGGCTAACAGTATCTATATTCTAAGAGTAAACTCAGCCAAATCTGAGGATACTTAAATCTGGAGATTGGACCCATGAACAGACAAGATAGATCTGTTTACAAACCTGAAAAACACCCAAGGTTTGCAGAATCTAAATATCTAATAGTGACACATAGGCCCCATCTGCAGATACCTAAAAGGATCAGGACCACACTGATGCTAAACAGGGTAGGGGTTTTTTTTGCAAACTTGTTTACAGAAAAATCAGAAATCCTAAAAAACAACAACAGGGGGTGTTTTAATTTTCCCCAAAAATAAAAGCAAAGAGAAGGCATCTAATTCCAATGTACTGGTAGTCCTAGGAGCTGCAGTGGGCCAATGGTCGCTGTGGCAGAATGTGGGAGCCGTGATGGACCTGGTGACAGTGATGGTAAAAAGTACACGGGAGTGCAGTGGCTCCAGTGATGGAAGTAGCATTGTGGGGAGCTGTGGCCGGCCCCACCGTGGCTGCAGTGAAGCCTGGAAACTAACTACGTTGGGCCCATTGCCAGTGATGGCATTGGTGGGAGAGTATGGCAGCGGTGATGGGGGGAGAAGTTTCAGTGGGCCCAGTGGCAAAGCCGGGAACTGCAGCGGGCTTGTTGACATTGGCTGATGCTGCACTGGCTTTTCCCTCTGTTGGTTTAAGAAACCCATGTTGGAACGGAAATTCCCTTCCGCATTGCATGCTGGTTTCACTTCCTTTGATTATCGGGTTTTATGGTCGCTTCCACACTCCATGCCACTTCCTTCTTTGATCATCAGATTTTATTGTACCTTCTGCATAGATTTATGGCTGTTCAGGGGTGACTTTGCAGTCAGTACGGCATTGCCCCAAAGTATTTGAATGTGGTTTTGAGCTGCACTTTTTCCTCCCAGTTGAGAAAATGTGGAACGAATGCTAGATACAGAATCGCCCATTGTTGTCAGTGCTGGTTGGGGGGTGGCAGCTGTGGTGGCCCTGGGGACAGTGGCAATGGAGGGGGAGAAGATAAAGCTGGGCCAGCCCAGCAGCAAGGCCAGGAGGCTGGACCCATTGCTGGTGTTAGCAATGGTGTGTGTAGGGTTCCCAGGAGCAGCAGTGGGGCGGGGGGAGAGAAGTTGCAGTTGGCCTGGTGATGTAGGCCAGGAACCATACTGGGCCTGTAAGCAATGGGGAGTGGCCAGGAGCTGCCTCAGCCCCAGTAGCAACGAGGGCGCTGCTAAGCTAAGAGTGGGAGAAGGATTCCGCCCTACAAGTCTTGTGGGCCCACAGATGTCTATATTCTAACAGTCAAGTAGAACTGGATACCTAAATTCTGAGACTGGACCATGAACAGATAAGACAGATTTTTCAATAAACCTGAAAAACACACCAGGTTTTCAGAAAAATCTAAAATCCAAAAAATATATTTTTGGTGGAGGGGGGATTAAAATAACTCAAAATGATAAAAGGAGAGCCTTTAGGTTAAAGAAATGGATGCTATCAGTTGCTGTTGCTAGGCAACCGCAGCAGGCTTGGTTTCTGTCAGTAAAAGGCAGGGGAAGAGGACAGGGCCCTTTCCAGGGCTGTTTTGGCCTTTGAGAGAAGACCCTGGAGGCCAGGTAGGCTTGCCAAGCCCCCGCTGGGGGCGGGTAAATTCCCTCCCAGGAGGCC